ACAAAAAAAAAAAAAAAAAAAAAGACTTAAGCACGAAGGCAAGCATTCTTGGGTGAGATAACACTGGGGCTGGGTCATGGTGATGGTCTGTTTTCTCGAATCTCTGGCGACTGAATAGGTAGGGGTGGTCAGTCACTGGTGGTCAGTCACCATAGACCAGAAAGGCTAGGCTGGTAGCTGGGAAACAAATTCTTGGGACAAAGATTATAACATAAGAAGGGCTCGGTGGATAGCTGAAAGACACATTCTTGGGACAAGGATGAGATGTTAATCTTCATGTCTTGTGACCATGTAGAACGAAACCCTCCTGGGGCCAGAAAACTGGCTGTTCTTCCAGTTAAAAGATGCATATATTGTTGTATATGCAGCTGTGACCTAAATACATGACCAAGTCTGCTGAGGGTGACCAGAGAAACTCCATTTTGGGCTCTGTTCTTTCATTGCCTTCTCTGGGTGTTTTAAAATATTCTTGTTTACGTCTGGGTTCAGTGACTCAGCCTGTAATCCCAGCACTTTGGAAGGGTGAGATGAGTGGATTGCTTGAGCCCACGGGTTCGAGACTAGCCCAGGCAACTTGACGAGGCCTCATTTCTACAATAAATAATAATAATAATAAAAAGTCAGATGTGGTAGCATGCGCCTGAAGTTCCGGCTACTTAGAAGGCTGAGGTGGAAGAATCACCAGAGCCCAGCAGGTTGACGCTGGGGTGGCCATGAGCATGCCACTGCACTCCAGCCTGGGCGACGGAGTGAGACTCCAACTCAAAAAACATATATATATGTATTCTGGTTTAATACTGGGGAATGTGGACGGCAGTCTGTCTTTTGCAGCTACTTCCTGCTGAATCGGGGCATACAGATGTCCTTACCTGCCTAAGCCTAATGTCAGAGGAGGGGATGATAGGAGCAGGAGACAATGGAGTGGTAGGCATTTAGAGTACTTAGCATCTGTGCACAAAGCACCATGTAAAAAGTACCTACTGTTAGAATTAATAATACTGTAATAAAGGCTGTTATCGCCACTGTCATGGCATATTAAGGCTTTGATGTTTGATAAAATATGTTTGTAAATAGTTACCCCAGTGGGCTTGGCACCCACTATCGGAACCCAAGCAGTTTCTATGGACCTGTATGGACCAGGCCAGCCTTTTTAAGGGCTTTTTTAATTGGCGCTTTACAAATCTTAATTCCTCAACGTAGTTCCTTCTGAAACAGTATTCCAGTCAAAGCCTTGGTAAAATAACCAGTATTTTCAATTACATTTTGTTACAAAAGAAGAAGTTTGAACTTATGTATATAACCATACTGTTATAAATTAATAGTTTTTAAATTCTGGAAGAGTTAGGTAAAGAGAAAGATATGTGTTTTAAATTTAGCTTATAGGAGCATGCTTTACTTAGTTGTGAGACCAAATAGCTCCAATTCAAAGTTTTTTTTTTTCCTTTTGACTCTGTAGCAATCCCGGGTTGGATCAGCAATCCTTATGAGAGCATAGTTTTTAATAAGAATTCGGGAAGAAGATTTTAAAGTTGTCAGTAATTTGGCACTGAAGTGTATTTGTCAGAGTCCTATAGCTAATTATAAAATGCTGTAGATGACTGAGACCTAGGTAGGCAATGTTTGAAAAATATCTTGGGTACCATTCTTAGGTTTTACAATAGTTGTTTTTTTACAAAGCAATTCACCTAGTCAGCAGACACAAAAGCCAAGATGGAGAGTTTGTTAAATGTTAAAGATCTCAAAAGCATGATGTTATAACAGGATTATAGGCCATTGTAAAAGTTACTCATT